GGGGCAAATTTTAGTTTGTGGAGTAGTCCTAGCGTTCGTATTTATATCGGCACCATATGTGCGAACAGATGGACATACGGGACATACGGGTCGAAGACTTACGTCTTCAAGATTTGCGGTATGGGCAACGAAATGACCTAACGAAGCTTCCCAAATGCTGCCCAGCCCAGAGAGCAGATCAACCTATTGGTTTCTTTCTCGAAGTTTTTTCTATCCAAAACACACTACCTGGCTAAAGTAGATATGTTAGGTACTCTTGAGCAACTCCAAGAATCGTACTACAAACGATAATCAAATCTCATATGACATGACTTTCGTCTTATTTAAATTCATATTCTGTCATGACGTATGTATCATCGGCGAAGCATAAGTGTGAGATGCGTTCGCCGTTTACATTGATGCCGCATCCATTCCAGTTTAACGTCTTATACACATATATATTCCATATTGTGTCCCCCTTTCTCACTCCATGATGCAACTGAATAGGAACTGAAGGTTTTGTAAGACCATCCTGTACTCGGACAGGCATCAAGCTTGTTGTGTTTAGATGTCTCAAGACATCTATGTATCGCCAGTCAATCCAGAAATGCTGCAAAAAATCCATAACAGAAATATAATTATATAAGCTCTTAAGATTACTGTAGTTATTATTTACAACTTGATGTTATCTATACGTTAATTCTTCATGTGGTTTTGTCAAAAAGTCACCATTTTCTTTCAATTGGCTGAGCAAAATTGCTGATTTGGTCGATTTCAGATAAGGTTGTAGAGAAAATAAAAGAAAAAATATCTTCGTCCCTAATAAACAAGCAAATAATTAATACAATTCTTCACAATTCAAGTATTGGTAGCCATTAATTTGTGCGACCATTACCGACTTTCCGTCGATAAGGTTTATTGCAGTACGATATGGTTAGTTTGAGCTCCTCGCACGTTATAAATTATTATAAATATGAAAGTGGAAAGTCTGTAAGTCCAATTTTACGCAAATTTGATCCGAGCTATAATTGAAGTTGCTGAATTGTTGGCGAGTATTGTCCACTAGCGCTCTACCGCTGCGTTATAACGATGTTTATGAAAGAGCTGCAATTGACCAGTCATTGTTAGTTTAAACACAGGAGAGTTAAATACTTAAAAGCCATTTGTTGAAAGTAAACATCCGAATTACGTTTGAGGTCAGTACAATAAATAACATATTATTATTTTTTAATCTATAAGCGTGTGGGTGTATATTGAATTCGTACTCGTATTTCTTTTTGAGCGCATTCATTATTTTTGATTATTTCTTTTTTCAATAGTTCAGTTAAACGATTCATTTTGATTCCGAGTGCGGGCTTAATGAGTATTGCTATTTTAATTCCTTCGACGTCCGAGCTGGGACAATAGATTGGCTAACGTAAAATTAGTTGTTACATATGCATATTGTCTTAATACCATTTTCTGTCAAATATCTATCTCGGTGGTACGACTCCGTAGGTTTCTGGCTAAGAGTCCGTATAACTATTTACGTATAATATTTCCGTTTTATACGTGGTAGAGCCATGCTGCAAGCTATATTAGTAGTATAGTTGTAGCACGAATGGGTCGGCTCGACCGGGGAAGGACTACGCTCTCACAGAATGCCAGCGTAAAATAGCAGCTTAACGCTGCTGTGTTTCGTATGGTGAGTGTAGAGAACTGGAGACCCATTTTACTGGAAGAGAGGCATTCCATCTTAGTCCTCCCGGGTGACGACGCATCTGCATTTTGATTCTTTATTGAGGATAAATGTAGATGTCTATGGGCCGCAGCAACCACTTACCATCAGGTGGACTGTGTGCTCGTTTGCCACCCTATCCTGTATAATGTATATATATATATAACTACCACCGTTTTACTTATTTCTGCCGCTAAGTAGGAGTGCCTGTACTGCTGTGTTCAGGACTGAAGTGTAGGGGCAGTATAATTTCAGGCTGTGAGATATTTCATCTTATACCTAGAACATTCCACGCATTAGAACTAAACGGTTTGCTTCGTCTTTTGTAATGCGTACAGCAAAGGAGTGGAATAATTTGCCGGCGTCCATCTTTCCGTCCGAATACAATCTAGGCGTCTTCAAGGCAAGAGTGAATAGGCTTTTGTTACGATAAGACAGTGCGATTTACCATCTAAGGCTGCATCACCACTTACCACCAGGTGGGATTGTGGTCAAGCACTGGCTTATAATAAGTAAAAAAAAAAACCTCAAAGTGACATTATGACATAGGCACATACAACCAAGTGTTACACACACAACACTCTAAGTTAATTTCTCATTTCAATTTTTTTTTTAAAAAATATGTTATGTTTTGCTTATTTATGAAGTTTGTCATTTATCTGAAGCCAAAATATTTTTATAAAACTTTTCCTTTAACTTGCGATATCCATAGCAAATTGGGTCTAACTATCATGGAATAAATTACATTATTACATAAAAAATTATAAAGTTTTGTGTCATTCAGTTTAAGACTTAATATATGATGTTATCAATTGTTTAGCATTTAAAAAAGTATCTTATTTAATTGTATATTATGTGAAATGTATAATATTAAGTTTATAAAATGCGAATATATGTTATAATTTAACGTAAATATTATACTTGGAAGCTGTTTGTTATCCAAATAAAATAAATTCACGGCAGAAACATTAGGATAAGTATATGTTACTTTGTAATTGATGTAAATTTATAATATTTTCGCATATTAATTCCATATTAACGATTAAACTGATCGTTTTTGTAAAATCAATAACTTAAATACTTTACACAAGCTTTACTTAATCGGTAAGTTTGTGATGTGTTTTATACGTGGTAGAGCCAAGCTGTTGCTATATTATAGTAGTAGCATGAATGGGTCGGCTTGACCGGGGATGGACCACGCTCTCACAGAATACCAGCGTAAAATAGCGGCTTAATGCTGCTCTGTTTCGTATGGTGAGTGTACAAAACCGGAAACCCCTTTTACTGGAAACATGACATTCCATCTTAGTCCTCAGAGGTGAGAACACATCTGCATTTTGAATTTTAATCGAGGATAGATGTAAATGTGTATGGGCCACAGCATCCATTTACTATCAGGTGGGCTGTCTCCGTTTGTCACCCTTATTCAAAAAAAAAAATAGAAAAGTGGATCAAATGCCCGATGCAAGCGTTTTATCTTTCCGAATATCCATAGAATATAACAAATATTATAAAATTAAAAAATCTTGTGTAAGTGACTACGCGAGTAGGTACATATTCAACGTATGGTAAGGAGATGTTGTGGTCCATAGACATTATCAACTAAAAGCAGATCCTTTGTCAGCCCTGAGGGATACGATTTTACACTTAGTTACCAAGTAAACGGAATCTTCAGTTCTTGTATCTCACCATACAGACCATACCAACATAATGATACTTTCTACGGTGGGGTTCTGTAAAAGCGGAAATAATCCAACCATTGATACCGAAGCCATAATAGGTACACTGCAACGTGTATTTATATAATAATAATAATATAATATAGTTTAGTAGGAATTTAAACAAAATAATTTTAAAGTTTGTAAAAATTAAAGTCGATAAATTAATTTTAGTCAATGTCTCTAAATTCGCGAAAATATATTTTTTTTATAGAATAAGGGTGACAAACGAGCACACAGTTCACCTGATGGTAAGTGGTTGCTGTGGCCCATAGACATCTACATTTATCCTCGATTAAGAATCAAAATGCAGATGTGTTGTCATCAAGAATTTTCTACATTCACCATACTAAACACAGCAGCATTAAGCTGCTATTTTATACTCGTATTCTGTGAGAGCGTGAATCCCGGTCGAGCCGAGCATTCGAATACAACCATATAGGTACTTAAATGAGAAAAAAATATTAAAATAGTTTATATTAAATTATAACAAGAATTTTAATAGTAAAGTTTTCGGAGTGATAACTACACCAAAGCCAAACTTTAAAAAGTAGTCACAGGCCTATTACCGGGCACAGTCCTCCTCCTATTCTAGAGAGCTTTAAGGCAAGGAATTGTGCTGCGTTACCCGAATGCGTATTAGCGAACTTCTCATAACTTCGATTTTTTACATTTTTTTTAACTTCTAAAATATGCAGGTTTCCTCATATTTTCCTTTACCGCTGAGCACGTGGTATATCTGCATTTAAAATTGCAATTAACATTTCGTCATTGTGTGGTCGGGGGTCGAACCCGGGTATCCGCTGAGCTATCACGGCCCTCACTAATTTACCATTCTAAAAAATAGTATAGCGTTTAGTGATTTACTAGTAATCTTGAATGTCATTATTTTACATGAAAAGCTTTAAAACCTGGTGAATCTCGGTCACCTCATCAGTGTTTCATGCGGTGCATTCGTGCGATTCGACGTCATAACAATTTGTCCGAGTAAATATTTCAATGGGATCGACTCACCGTTTAACGAGTGCCTTTTCAGTGCCGCGGCGAGCCGTTTAGCGAATTTCAATAGTTATCGCGCGGAGAAAAACTCGCCAGTCGAAAGGGACCGGCGAGGAGCGAGCGAGAGCGACAGCACAAGAAAAGAAGTAATAAAAAAGCGGTCGTGTGTGCGTGGTCGGTGTGGTGGCGTAGGGCGGTGATGCAGGCCCCTCCCTGTGGCTCGTCGCCGCCTCGCCGCCTCAGTCGAGTCTACATCGCGTGGCGCCGCACCGGTCCGCTCTCGCTTCAATCGCGCGCGTAAAAAGTTTTCCTATTCCGAAACTTACGATCGCGTTGACAACACGCCCAAAACAACTCCGAATCACGTCACGGAGTTTTCGGTTTTCTTCGGGAAAACTTATGATCGATTGTGTTTTATTTTTAAAATAATTTATGTGATTCACAAAATACTTTTTTGTTTCTGTCGAATACTCTTTCCCCTTGACAGCTTTTTATCGATTTTATTTAGTAAAGTAGTGGAACAATATTCACGTCGCGATATTTCACATTAGATCAAGTTCCAGAGACTATGTACAGTTGTGCCATCGATGGGATGTACGGACGGTGACGGCTTGTGGACAGACGGCAGACTGGGCTCGGAGGCGATTAACTTAATGCTGCTGCAAGGCGAGGGCCGGGAGCGGCCAGGGCCCGCAATGGACGATGACTGCTCAGTGCGGCCCTGCGCCACTGATTTCTCCATCGCAGCAATTATGGCCAGAGACCGGCAGGAGAGGCGAGAACGGCGGAGACACAGAGACCCAAGAGAAGACACGCTTACACCATTAGGTTGGTATTAAATGTATTCAGTTGCAGTTACTATAATATTATAACTGTATTTTAAATTTGGTAAACAATAAATTCACTGTAATATACTTCGAAAACCTCTAAATCTGATAATTTTATTGACCAAACCGAGCATTAGTAAAATATGAAATACGTTTGGAGTCTGAATATTACTTTACATACAAAAATATCTATTGGTATTTTAAAATAAATAACATATACATATTCAAAAGATAGACTTTTATCCATTCGATTGATTGCTCTTTACGTGTAGGTTGACGCGGGTTCGAATCCTGCACGTAACAATTATTTGTTTGGCCTACAAATAATTGTTCAGGGGTTTGGATGTTTGTCCTTGTGAAATCTACGTATGTAAACTGCCCCCGCGATACAGGAGAAAATCCTAGTGTGAACGGTAACGTTTTTTTTAAAAAAGAAGATCAATAAAAATAAACAAAAAAAAAAAGGTTTAACATTACATCACAGAAAAATTATAAATGCTGTTGATTCCTGCCTACAATTATTGTTATAGGACTCTTTATAGGCATCTATTGTATATTAACATTTATAATAAGATTATGTATGATTATGGAAAAAAATATATAAAATGAGAATAAACAATAAAATATTCGTAAACCAAAAATATTATGTTTTTTTAAAATCTCTAAAAGGGCTCAACTGCGTAAAAATAGAAATAGTGAATTAAAATTAAGCAGGTCATCAATCATTAGAAGATTTCAATTTTTTCCTTGAACTAGTCTTTAATTTAATTGTAAGTTTGATGTCGTGTCCTATCCACACTTTGGAAGATCAAATTAAGTTAATGTTGACATAGATCTTTTTTATTAAAATTAAATGAAAAGAAATCTTGTAGTAACACCTAAACGTAACCTAAATAAAAAGTAAACTTATTGTGTTACCTTTTAATTTTAATGATATTCAAAAAATCTTTAAATTAAAACTTTTTAGTCAGACAATCAATCCACTGAATCAACTATTGTTATCAATAGCGATTTGCCTAGGCTTCGCACGGGAGCAAAGTGCGTCAGATAAGTGGTATTTTCTATTCACGGCTCGATCACAAAACACCAACATGTCTTTACAATTCTTACTTAAAATATAACTGTATTATACACAAAAGTCTTCCTCAAATATTAATTTTCTTAATTAGCATAAATAGAGAGAAACAAGAAATACTAAATGTTGTCTTATTTTTAAGTTATCGTAGCACGTATCATGGGCGAGCTAATTGTACTAATAAACATTTTTTATAAATTCTGTAGATAATAGTTAAAAGTGCATCAATATTCATCAAGTAGTTATACTACAACTGCATATTACTGGCTACATTTATTCCAGTAATATGCAGCTATATTACTGGTATAGTTGTAGCACGAATGGGTCGGCTCGACCGGGAAAGGAATCTCACAGAATACCAGCGTCAAATAGCAGTGTTTCGTATGGTGAGTGTAGATACTAGAGAGAGTGTAGTGTAGTGTAGAATTTTTACTGGAAACGAGGCATCTCCCATCATAGTCCTCACGGGTGACAACGCATCTGAATTTTTTTTATGTCTATGGGCCACAGCAACCACTTACTTACACTGTAAGTAAGTGGTTGCTGTGGCCCTGCGGTGGACTGTGTGTTCGTTTATAACCCTTATCCTATAAAAAAGTAGTTTTAAAGTTTTAAACAAATAAGAACACTTAGCTAAGCGATTTCGTGTTATACCACCTTACTTTTAATACACATCAATCAGGTCTATCAAGCTTATGATATATTTGTAAATTTAACAATAAAATACATTTTATAATGCGTGATAGAGGCAAAGAGAAATCAATTTTTTTATAGAATAATATATTAAAGGTAATAGGAATAATCTATGACGTAATATCCTCATATTGTGGGTGTTACTAAAATCAAGTAAGAAAAAATAATAGCCAGCAATAGGAAGTGAAATAACCATCTCAGTATTTTCAAGATTCAAGCGATTCAAAACAGTCAGGATCGCCAATTCAGGCGTGGTAATGGCAAATTTGCAAGTTGGAAGAGATTTTTTTACCGTGAGTAACCACGTGAAGTAAAACATCGGCGAGTACATGGACAGACTATTTTTTAGGGTTCCGTACCCGAAGGGTAACCAACGGGACCTTGTAGGTACTATTATTTATTCTGTGCTAAGCCTCCGCTGTCAGTCCGTCCGTCCGTGGGCTGTATCTCATCTGTAATAGGTAGACAGTTAACAATTTCACAGAATGTATATTTATGTTATATGTAATAAAAATAAAAATTAATTAAAAACTAAAGGGGGCTCTCCTACTGAGAAACGTGTTATACTGCAGTGCGGAACCCTTCATGCGCGAGTCAGACTCGCACTTGACCGGTTTTCTGTTTGTAATTTTGAACCAAAATTCCTGTAAATCAGATTTTGAATATGACCATTTAGTAGAAGAAAGTACCTACTAAAATAAAAACAATATTTTTGATTAATTCCAAAAAAATATAAAACATTTACATTTAAATTTTACATATAGGTTAGGTTACCTATATAACATTTTACATATTGTCGTGCCTAGCTTAAAAACATGGTTTGGAAGTGTAAAATGTAAATAATTTTTTTACTGTCGCACATTTTAACTCGCATTTATTTATGTGAGATATCTATTTGTGTTCTTAATTTGTATTCATGTCCTACAATTAAATAATCTTATTAGTGGACAGTTTGAGCTACATTTTCATAAATTATGTTGCTTTTTATATCTTTAAAAGCTAATAATAAGTTATAATGACAATCAGCCATGGTAAATAGTAAATATTATATTAATATTATATTGTAAATCAGTGTACTGACAACGATACGAAAATTTATAAATCCGATATTCATTAAATATTAGGTAATTTTGTTACGCGTATGAACGACTTATTTATTTTGCACGGATTCATCCATCCATCTGGATATAGGTCTCCTAAATCACCCAAAGTTAGAACAGAATCAACATTATACGTTTTGAAAATTTATTCTTTGAAAGATTTAATTTAAAAATACTTAATTAGTTGGCTAATATATTCGTTCGCGATTCAATGTGTACGTCATGCCTAATTTTGTCAATAACTATTATATCTACTTACTAAACAAATTGACTGTATTTTTTCTTTAGGTATAATATTATATTTAACTAAACTACCTACACCTTAAAGATTTGAGAATGTTTTATAGTGAATCTCATAAACGAGACATTTTGCACAAATACAAATAAAATTATTTGTATAGGTATCGTTGATAGTAGTAGTCACCACACTAAATTTTCACAATCATCCAATTTTAGCTATTTATTTTAATTTATGTTAAATTAGAGAAAGTTTTTAGATTGTAGGAATCTGACTTGAATCGGTTTGGATAGTTACCAACCTCTAACCTCTTTCTACCGTCAAACAGCAATGTAGACACCGCTGTTTGGCGTGTTCCGTTCTGAACGATATAAAATGTAAGTATAATTATCAGGCTAAAGACATTCTATCTTAGCATGCAGTAGCAGCGACGCATCTGTAGCCATCTTTGCTTAAAGTTGATTGCAGGTGTCTATGGGCTGCAGTAGTCACCTACCATCAGATGAACTGTTAGGTCGCTGTCACTTCAATTTTAAAAAGTAAGAATGTAGATTTCATAAGTAATTAGCAATCGTCCATAACTTCCTACCATACAATACCAGCGACAGACAGAATAATCTGAAACAGGAAATGAGCAGCAGCATCTACCTAATAACAACCGAACATAATTAAAAACTTGAGGTTGAATAACCAACTGCCAAGTTGGCAATTATAGTCAAATATTATGAGCCAGTCTAAGTTGAGCAGTAAACTTTTTTTGAATACAATATCAGCGTATTACATAGCGTGTCACATATTCACGTGCAGTGAATAATATAGTACCTACGTCGATTATATATATTATATGTAAGTGCCACGCTGCTACTGTATTATAACTGCAGCCCGAATGGGTAGGTTCAGTCAAGGCCAAGTATCTCGCGCACAAAACCATCTTAAAATACATACTGAAAACGTTTTGTTTGTAACGAGGCAATTCGTCTTAGTCCTCAGGGCCTATAAGGCCACAATATTTATTTTCCGTGAGGTGGACTGTGTCTCGCTTTTCATTCTTATTTGTATTTAAAAAAACCCGACCAAGTGCGAGTAGGACTCACACATGAACCGTTCCGTACCATCGTATAAAACACGTCTCTAATAGGGGAGCCTCCTTTAATTTTTAATTAATTTTTATATTTATTTTTTGTTGGTAAAGTGGCAACAAAAATACACATTTTGTGAAAATTTCAACTGTCTACCTATTACGGATCATGAGATAGAGCCCGCTGACAGACGGACGGACGTACAGCGGAGGCTTAGTAATAGGGTCCCGATGGTTACCCTTCGGGCACGGAACCCTACAAAGACGAAGCAGAATGTCAAGATTCAGTTATGATCAGTGGTTTTCAACCCTTGGCAGACTTACAATGTACTTAGAATTAATGAGCACTTTAAGCAGTGGTGTAGCATGAATAGCTGCTTCCCGGGGCCCAAAAAATGCCGTCTTCCCCCATTTTCGCTAATACCTTAAAAATATGAAACCGACAAAAGTTTTCTATAGTCTTTGTATTTAATATATTTTATTATTTAAAAACAAATATAACAATTAGAACAATATAATATATTTTTATACTTATGCCAACCCTACCATACCAATGCAGTTCATAATGCTACAGTGTTCCTTATGTTTTAGACAATAGCTTTCAGTGCAAAAACTATTTTTTAGATTTTCGAGATTACTGGCGTAAAGTTAAGTCGCGAATTGACTTTTCTTACAGTGGCTAATGCAACCCATCGACGCCTGCAATTAACTTCAAAAAAATCGTCATCACATCAGTGGATTATAATGAAATGTCTCAGTATGACTTTTGTATTTAACCAAGAATGACAAACGAGCACACAGTTCACCAGACGATATTTGTTTATTTGTGTGGATGATGTCACAGCTCACCAACACACATGCGATGTAGGCTCGCCAAGCCCACTCGGACTGGCCACTTCTGGGCTTGCTCTTCACCACGGCCCAGCTATGAGGGTACCCCGATCACGTTCCCAGCCACGATAAGGCGGGAACCTGTTTGTAAAGGGGGAAGGGGGATATAGCAGCCTACATTTTACCTCAAGCAAAATTCAAAATGCAGACGGATTGTCACTTCTGAACATCAAGATGCAATCCCTCGTTACCTACCAAAACTATTCTGGTGTATTATGCTGGTATTCTGTTTGAGCGGCCATGGCCTTCCCCGGTAAAACCGATCCATTGATGCAGCCATAATACAGCTATATTGTCCATTTAAAGCCACAAATTAATACGAAGGGCACAAATTGTCTTAGGTTGTTTACTATTAAAAAAGTTTTAAGTATAAATATCATTTTATACTGACAATAAAAGAAGACATGCCTTGCCATTCCTTAAGAATAGTTTTTTAGCAGTTTTTATTAGCTAGCGGTTAACATGAAAAAGCCACGCTTTTCTTTAAAATAAAATATAAAGCCAATTATCATGCAACATAACACAAAATATATTTATTTTTATATAATATGAATTTATAGGGTTGAAATTTTTAATACGGTTTATTTGAATAAGTTATATAAAAATTTAAGTTCAAATAAAGAAATATAATAATAGGTTAAAAAAATTGTAAATGTACCTATCACTGATAAATTCTTTCTACTTCAAGTATAACCATATGTTGAACTTTCAGAAAAGTTTGTGGACGCAACAGCGTCAGCATCTGGGTCGCCGTCACCGCCACTAGCAGAATACGAACGAGACTCCCCCGTGGACGTATCCTCAACTTCAGAGGCTGGTTCGGCCAGTGGAGCCCCCAGCGGCTCCCGCGCTCTATCACCTTCACCTCGGAACCCACAACTGATAGAGCGCTGGTCCAGCGAAGAAATGAGGCACATACAATGCCACCTCGAAACCAAAGAACTATGGGACAAATTCAACGAACTGGGCACCGAGATGATCATCACAAAAACCGGAAGGTAACTTAAGCTTCACTTAATTTAATACAAGAAACGAAGCCAATCGTGAACTATAAAACTCACTGACGTAGCGCTAACGCGAAGTAGAGCCGTCGAATCGAATCACTTATTAGCTCTCGTACATACCGAGTGCAGTGTGAAATTAAAAATTGTTCGTGGTAGGTAAGCAATTGTTGGTTAACGAGATCAAGGTAATATCGAGGGAGCGTTGACGATAAGGTAGGTGGTGGAGTACGCGGCGGCGCGAGGCGTGTCGGTCTCGGCTCGCGGCAGAACAATGGGCAATCTACCGCCGCGCCGAACGCTGCTACCGCTCGCCACCAACCGCGTGGTTTAGCTTTTGAAAATGTTCATCCAGTTACCGCGATTCGAAATTCGAATTGATTGATCGTTGAATGTACGTGATTTGGTTTTTGTTTTTTTTTTCCATATTGCGTAAACTACTGCAAGTTTTGAAAATATCTTGTTCAGGTTCTTGTCGCAATAGCGTCGCCGCAACGTTATCGCAGCCAACATAAGTTATGATGACAGCTCACCAATCGTGACGAATACACCAATACAGTCTTATGATTACGACTTCCACATAATTCAATATGATTGTGAATATTTCTAGGTTGTGATTTTTAACTTCCAATATCTGCAACGCAAACATTTCTATGAATATAAAATAATACTGAGGTACATTAATATAAAGTTGCAAAATTATTATGGGTTTTAAAAAGTCAAATAGTTATAAAAACTCGGCCAACAGTCGCTGACTCCTTGGTGCAGACCCGCAACAACAACTGTAATCTCTGATCATCATTAAAATATGCCAGCAAAACTGCGTCCTCGTCTTGTGTGTCCCATTATCCAATATTCGTCACAAAATTATGCTCTATGTAGTAAAATATTACGTAAAACTTTTTGTTGAAAATGTTGTAAAATTTAAGCCGTAAAACTTTTTATGACGTGGTGTACTGAAGTCTTGGCATCATATTTCTAACAACGCATCTGATTTTTTGATCTGATTCGAGGATAGATTAAAGAATCTATTGACTTTCAATCGACTCACCATAAACTGAATCTCTCTTATCTTCTTCTTCTTGTTCAGCCAGTAAAAGTCCACTTCTAGTCATGGGTTTCTCCCATAGTGGAATATTAATCTTCACGCTTGGCAGACGAATTGGCTAACGTAGTACTTAACTTTTCACACCTATGACACTGTTTTCTGTTGCCACTCTGATTATTTTACGTCAAGTTAAAAGAGATGGTATACCATAAGATATTTTGACATATCCCATAGAAGCTTCTTACGACGTGAATGTTGTAAGAGGTGACTGGCGAAATGGATTCCATTACGCCGCCATTACACGGCAAAAAATGTATGTCCTAATATTTTAGGTGTAGTATTTATTGTTTGTCATTTTTTCCATCTGATTTTTCTGGCATTGCCCTTAGCGATTTTTTTGAAAAAGAGGACCAAAAAACATTTTCTTTGATTTAATCACCTCACTACACACCTATTAGAGTATGTAAACGATTTCACAAATACACTGAAACCGTTACCGTTACAATCTATTAAATTCCGCTGCTGAACATATATTACTTCATAGATAGGATATTTGCCATAGTTGCCACGCTTGGCAAGCGGGTAGGCAACCGTAGTTTTTTTTAATTTTAATCGTTATTCGGAAGACGATGCTGCCCATATTTTGATTTATTTCCCTGTCTGTTCTGTCGCCTTTTTCGAGACCTACGGGATGATATGGATTAGTGCATGTTCTTACACCGCCACTACACGGCAAATCCTGAAATATTTAATGCTAAATACTCACCTTTTAACAAATAAACGGGAAAAAAATCTTGCGTACGGTGCACAGAACAATGAAGTCTCTTTCACGGACTATAAAGCCGTATTAATACCTCTCTTATTTATTACTTATAATGTTCTCGAGTTAACGACGCCTCAGGCATTCAGTTTTTTCCATCAAGCATCATAAAATACGACATCTCGAAATATATTCCGCTATTATTCGAACGAAGCGGCCCAGAACAATCATCGAACGTGTTTGGTGTTTATTGATTTAATTTATTGTTTAAAAATGTATTGTCATCTTACAGAATCTAAACCGTATATTTTAGATGAAGCAACGTTTAACAAAACGGTTTTACGGTATCGGTAACATATATTATCATATCATTTTGCGTCACTCATTAGTAATAATAATTACGCGTATTTAAGTAAACACATTTGCCGAAAGTGCGATTTTACGCTTACGAATTGAAAGGTTACAACGCTTTGTTGTGTCTCATATGAAATCATATGCAGTGGTCATGCATCAAAATACAAACGTTAGTAACTTAGAACAATTAGTAGGACCTACCGTAATTCAGTAATTTATGTTCCTACCCCATGCCACCTTTATACCTATTTCTGCCGCCAAATAACAGTGTCTGCACTGCCGTGTTCCTGTCTAAAGTACGAGTACATAGTGAACCAGTATAATAATAAGCTGTAAGACTTACTGTAAAAGTCTAATTCTGACATGAAGTTTTTGGTTGTCTGCGTCTTGTTTGGTTGTCAGTCTAGACACTTCAAAGATCGAATATGATTCGTTATTTACTGACTCACATATAATATCGCTTGATATAATAGAAAAATTAACATTAGCAGACGTTATATGTGTTATGTGTTAGTATTTCAATTCCATTATCATCGCGTAAGCGTCGGTCGTTCAAAACCATAAAAGATATGAAACGGCCAACTCAACAAAAGGGATTTGGAAAGTTGCTATAGGAGACAATTTGCCACACACCGTCACGCGAGCTTATCCGTGTCGGCCCCGTCGATTAGCATAAATCTCGCCAACTAACCGTCACAAATGAGCGACGGTCGCTTCGGCGGGACGCGGCAATACGAGGCGCGAGTTAGTCGACGCGGCGATTGTGCGACTCGCACGATACAGCGACTATGCGCGACAAATCGCGACCGTCGCCCGCCCGTATAAATCAGCATTATCTCGCGAGATAGCCGCGCTTGGACCCACCCCACCATATCACGCCGAGCCCCGTGTCGTTCGAAAAAATTAATGACTCGGAAAAACGATTCGCTTATGAGGGATGTCTCAATGTAATTGAATTGCCCCGCAGAGATCTGCGGAATTGTCGCGAGTACGTTGTGCTGAGTCAGGTGTGTTAGGAAATCAAAGCTTTTTGTGATTTTACTTGCGGTTTTTTACGTTCATATCATATCATAATATAAAAGGTATTATTTTAAACTTAAATTTCTCTCTTATGCTCTGAACTAAAAACTCGTTTACAAAAGATATTAAATTTGGCCACATTAGCTGCTGTCACCCCTTAGGGATTACTATAACAAGCGTAATAAAGTAATGCAAATATGTCTGTCCGTGGGTCGCCAGTTGCCATGCTAATCGGGAGCGGATCTAATTCGGTAAGCCATGTATCTCTGTGCATAGCACTTTAAATTGTATTTTGTCGCTTTCCATTTTTTATCCCCTGGGTAAATATTATGATGTCTGTCGCGTGGAATTAAATCCAACAGCTTTAATAGTAGCGCTATCCATCTGATACTAACTTATTTATCAAAGCTTAGCAGTTGTAACGTATAGTATTTTTTTACCTTAAATCTTCCGTTTAAAGCCCAGAAAAAAAACAAGGCTTTTCCTTCAAAATTTTGCCTGGAGGTCATCTTTATTAAATTAATCATACATATATTAATTGTTTAATATACGAGTCACATACTGGTTTATAATAATAAAAACCAAATACAGTTTTACGAAGAAGATCCTATCATATCCTTTTCAGCTTTGTATTAATTTTGTATTAAATTTAGCAAAACAACCAGTGCGTACTCAATAATTATTACACACTTGTGACACATTTTTAAAGAATATACAAACAACAGAACGAAATTTCTAATACTTTAATTATTATAATTTTCAACGATGAAGCTTAGTTTAAATGAAGACCCGAACACATATAATATCGAATACATTCGTATAAATTAGAATCATTTCATATTATTGGATTATAGTGAAGATATCTAAAGCCGCGACTGCTGCCAACACTTTGCGATCATGGAGTTGGCTGGGAGCAGCCAATTTGATTTACATCTTGATAGCACACTCCTAATATACGCGGTTCGTCTACGAACGTGATAAATAACAATTTTTTAACTCTTCCATAAATATCTTATCTTTGTAGTTTTGACAAACGTGCATTGTTTATGTTCTATACCAAAGGCATAATTCTTTTGCATTCAAAATTATGAGAACATTTCTTTTAGAGACTTTGATGTTTCAATACATGTTGCGCTAATAAAACAATTTCTGGTGTATAGTTATGTTTAATTGATCATTTTATAGTTTTACAAATGGAAACACGAACTTCATAGAGGCATAGAGAGGTTGTTAGTGTTTTATTCGTAAAGAGAAGGTTATTCAAGTGCGATTATATTCTTTTTAATTTCAAAAACATACTTAAAGATATTTGGAGGAATCGCAAAAAAATGAACATTATTGGTGTAGAGTGGATATTACTTTTTAAAAAAAACTGACAAAATCTCTTAAAGTTATAGCTTATATACGTCCTACTGCTAGGCACAGGCCTCCCCTCATATCTGAGGGGGTTTTATGGCAAGGAAATGTCCGCCACACTGCCCCAATGCGTGTTGGAGAATTTCACATGTCTTCGAGTTTTTTTCTTATTTCTCAAACATGCAGGTTTCCTCACGATGTTTTCCTTCACCGCCGAGCACGTGGTAAATCAGCACTTAAAATTGCACATAGTCCACATGATGGTAAGTGAATCCTGTAGCCCATAGACATCTATATCTATCGTCGATTAAGACTCAAAATGCAGATGCTTTGTCACACCTGAGGACTAAGATGGAATGCCTCATTTCCAGTAAAAAGGGTCTCCGGTTCTCTACACTCATCATGCAGAACACAGTAGCATTGAGCTATTATTTTACGCTGGTATTCTGTGAGAGCATG